AGAGAAAAAGAGAGAAAGAGAGAGAGAGAGAGAGAGAGAGAGAGAGAGAGAGAGAGAGAGAGAGAGAGATTACTTTGTTTTTAAAATGTTTGTTCTTAAAATGCTTGGCACAAGAGGAAATGCCTCCCCTAAGACAAAGCCAGTGGTCTGCAATGTATACAAGTACTTGCAAAAAGCAACTAAATGGGCAACCAGTTTTAATGGTGCTTTTTTTTTAACAAATAAATCAGATGTGTTTTTAGTCAATTATAAAAAAAATGGGGCCAGTCACGTTTCCCTGAGTCTAACCTTCCTCACAGAGTTGTTGTGAGAAGAAAATGGAGAAGGATACAACCACATATACCACATTCGGTGTCTTGGAGAAAGGGCAAGATAGAAACATGATACCGATATATCTAATTCTCAACATGGCCCCATGTTCAGAGTTCAGAGACAAGACAGGTCTTTCTGCAAATCTGAAAAAAAATGCCCCAGGTTGCAGAAAAATCTGAAATCTAAATGGTTAGAGCGTCAAAGTAGACCCACTAGAGTGGGAAGGAGAGAAGGAAGCAGGAAAAGGTGATATAGGCTATGGAGGCTTTCAGGAAACGGAAAGAGGAAATAGTGAGGGAGGGGAAAACGAATTCCTTCCCACAAGTCCCCCACTTTTATAGATCGATTACCTAGGATTTGCAGCCCTAGAGTCAATGGGTTACATTGTTCAGAACACTCCCACTTCCAAAGGCACTGCCTCAAGCCCAAAAATGCAGCTCACTAAATTACCTATACTTGGGAATCAAGTGATCTCCCACATGTAGATGCAAAATGCAGAACTGTCACTCAACAGAACACACGTTCAATCAAGGTTTTCAAGGGGGGGGGAGTGCATTGCATTTTTAAGATTTCCCCCTTTGAACATGAGAGCTTCCCCCACCCCCATGAAAGTGGGGATAAACGGATCCCTTTTCCAGCAGTGCAATTTCCTTGCTTAGCTCGATATGGATATACAGAGCACAAAGCCCTGGCTGAGCTCACACGAAACAGACAGATGGGAGAGAACAGGGGTACTGGAAGAATTAAATTAAATCCTGACCAACTGGCACTGAAGAGGATCTTGTGTAAACGTGGCCGTCTCCCCTAGAACGACAAGCAAAGTGCCAAAAGTATTTTGTGCGGCTACTTCGACAGAGTATCAGCCCCTGCCAGAATTCACATCCACCCCCTCCCTATTTTTCTTTTGTTATATCCCATGTTGCAAAATTAAACATTTCACATGATTTATGTTTTCATTAACGTTACGTTCTGCATATTAATTGCCTCAAAGAAAGCCCCGGGTAGAAGCCAGCACAGAAATGAATTATTCAAGGCAAAACGCCGGCTCGGTGCCCGCTGCAGGGCTTCGGGTTTCTGTCAGAACAGGTTTTGACACACAGGCTCCGGGAGGAATCTAAACCGACAAACGCTGAACTCTCTCCTTTCCCAGCAAAGGAACCTTTCAACAGACTCCCAGATCCGGTTCTCTCCCCTTTCCTGGGGCTGGAGGGGGTGGGGGGAGCTCGTAGAGGGCAGAGTACTTGCTTGGCATGCAAAAAGTTCCAGGTTCAATTCCCAGCTTCTATAGCTGAAGGATCTCAGGCGGCGGGAATTGGACAGTTCTGTGCTCTCAGACCTCGGAGAACCAATAGCAGACAATACTAGGCTGGAGAAAACAAGGGACTATTAGTGTAAAATGTGAAAATCCTAAAAAGATTCCGTAGCTGAAGGGTAGAGTGAAGCTCCTGTTTTACACACAGACTTAATCCCTGTTCAAATGACTTTAGATCGCAGGGATGCATTGTGAACTATAATGGATTAATGCAGGGCTCTTTTTGTAGAAAAAGCCCAGCAGGAACTCATTAGCATAGCAGGCCACACCCAACAGCAGGAACTCATTAGCATATTGGGCCACACCCCTGACAGCACAGCTCATTAGCACATTAGGCCACACCCCCATGTTACCAGAAGTGTGGTTATCCAGCCACACCCACCTTTTGCTTGTTATTCTGTTTACCTTGTTTGTTGTCAAAACCCAGGGCTTTTTTTGTAGCAGGAACTCCTTTGTATGTTAGGCCACACACCCCTAATGTAGCCAATCCTAATGAGTTCCTGCTGTTGGGTGTGACCTATTATGCTAATGAGTTCCTGCTGGGCGTGGCCAACATGGGAGCCAGCCGGAACTCCGTTCCTGTGCGTTCCTGCCCCAAAATAGCCCTGTTTAATAGTATCCAACAGACCTATCCTGCCATGAACGTAAAAGAGCCTTGCTGGATCAGATCTAGCTTGTTCCCAAGAGCAGCCTTACAAGAAACCCCAACGTGCAGGATATTAAGTCAATTGCTGGTTCTCCGACGCCCTATATTCAGGGCAGACCGCTTCCAAAGAGGCAGAACAGCAATTCCAGGCACACACAATCTGCCATGGGGATGTGGAATTTATCTAGCTGGCATAACTCCCAAGTTAGTAGTCCTCAACGAGGCGTTCAGTTCTCCAGTCTGATTTTACGTCCCCTCCCAACAAACAGAAATATTAGAAAATATAGAAGCTGCTTCTCCAGAGAACCTGCTTGAGGAGGTTAACAAAATAAAATCTGATAAAATTATAAAACAGTATGCGGATTGTTTCAAAATTAATAACAAACTTTAAAAAACCCAGTACTAGAACCGAGGCAGAGCAAGGAACCGGCACATAAGATTGAGCAGTATAAAAACGAGTCTCAAAAAATAGTTCTCAGGCAAGGAGCAGACTAAAAATAATTTGAAAAGAACACCTTAATTAAAAGGTTGGGTAACAAGAAATGTTTTGGCCTAGTGCCTAAAAGAAAGTACAGTAGGTGCCAGGCAAGCCTGGCGGGGTGCATTCCAAAGGCAAGGAGCCACCACAGAAAAAGTCCTGCCTCTGGTTGCCACCTACTTCACCTCTGAAAGTGGTGCTGGGGGTACAGAAGTGCTGTGAAAAGGCTCTTAACTGGCCGGCTGAACAATATGAGCAGAGCATCTTGAGAGAGAACCTTTTACCACTTTTTGTCTAAAGATTCTTCTCCAGGCCTTTTCTAGCCCCATTCCTGGCCCCCTGCCTCACTTGGACCAAGTTCAGCTTTTTAGAAGGGAATGATGATAACACCAAATTCATTCTTTTTTAAAAAAAAAAAATTAAAAAAACCTTTACTTGGAATTAAAATCCTTGGTTAGGGGGAAAAAGGAAAAAAGTTTAGCTGAACAAGCATTTCCTAACTACAGAGGAAAGGAAAAAATAATTATTTATATTCTGCTTTTCTCCCCAAAGACCCAAATGGATCTACAATCTCAGTCTCCCGTCCTCCATTTTATCATCACAATGACTCTGTGAATCTGAAGAAGTGTGTGTGCACACGAAAAGCTTGTACCCAGAATAAAACTTTGGGGTGGGAAGGGGAGGCTGGCGAACTGCGCATACTCACACATGCGCAGTTCGGCCAGGCTTGAGGCGCTCATCTCCAAAGAACCACCTAGGTAGGTGGTTCTTTTTTAGTGCAGGGTTTTGGGCGGGAGGGACGGACAGGCAACGATTCCCAGATGTTGCCATGGGATTGCGCCCGTTTGCTCCGCCCCTGATCCGTCCCGCTCCCGGCCCAAAACGCCTCGTGTGAACAGGGCCTTTGTTGATCTTAAAAGTGCCACTGGACTCAAACTTTGTTCTGCTGCTTCAGACCAACACAGCTACCCCACCTGAACCTGTGAGACAGGTTAGGCTAAGGGACAATGGCTGGCCTACATTCACCCACTGAGCTTCCAAGGTAGAGTGGGGGGTTGAAAATGGGATGTCTCCTAGACTAGGGTCTAGGGTCTGACAACTCTGACCACTACACCATGCTAACTGGTGAGCAATGCAGTCTTCTCTCCCTAAATCGAAAACTTAGAACCATAGAGTTGGAAGGCGCCATACAGACCATCTAGTCCAACCCCCTGCCCAATACAGGACCAGCCTAAAGCATCTCTGACAAATATTCGTCCAGCCTCTTCTTGAAAGCTGTCAGTGAAGGGGAGCCAACCACCTCCCTAGGCAGCTGATTCCACCTTTGAACCATAAAAACGTTTTTCCTAATATCCAGCCGATACCTTTCTGCATGTAAT